AAATGATTGTGTACCTATTTTTAATTTTAGAAAAATGTACGGAAATTTCAATTACAAAGTAACTCACTTAGTTTTTATTTTTTATTTTTTATAAATAATATAACTATATTTTATTTAAATAATATTTTTATATTTTTATACATATGTATTTAAATTTATATTTTTCATAGGTACATTATTGGATATGTAATTTACAGATTTTTTTTTAATTTGCAATTTTAGGGAGCGATATGTGAGAGGGAATGACAACCAAAAGAAATGGGGTGATTGATATGCTATTAATAGGAAGTATTAATTACAATTACGGAAATTAATGCTTGATCCTTCCTCCTAAAATGATTGCGTAGCTAGACATAGGTTGATCAATCAAAAATGCGTCTTTGAACTCTTTAAAATCCAAAGAAGCGATGCACTCCAACCTCTCTCCCTATGAAAATCAGCCACCTGAAGGGCCTCCACAAGCACAAGTATGCCTCCATCTTCCCTAGTCTCTCGTTCTTGCAGAGCTTCCAAAGGATGGTCACCTAAAATTTGGTACATCAAATCTGAACCCCGAAAATATCTTCTTCACCACAATATATGAATAGTCAAAGCATGACGTGGAATTGTTGTTGACCAAACGATATATTATATATAGTGGTGACTATGCAAAAACCACACCATGCAATGCAATGAAGCAGCCGATCTTAATCATCCAAGGTATAAGTTGGCCCTCCCCATCAATGACTTTTAAAGATTTATAGTCACTCGAGGTCCTCTGGAGAAGTGTTTGAGCCCTCTAGAGAACCTTCGAGTAATGTCGAACTCCCTTTCGGAGCTCTGAGTGGTTAAAATTCTAGAAATCAAAAAATGAGTTAAAAGTTTTTAACATGTCCAAAATTGGGATACTTTTCACAATTTCCCAATAATAAAAGGTTTAGAGAATGATTCTTGTGATTAAAGGGCATTTGAAATAGGATATAACAAGGTGATTAACTAGTGAGTGCAAGACAAATTGAAATCAAATGTGAGCGCTTGCACTGGCACTTAGTGGAAGGAAACAAATTTTGATTCCTTGAAATAATAATATTGCTACTGTTGGGCGGCCTTGCACCTAGTTGAGAGGTTTATTCATTTAAACCATAAGGACGCATAGGCATGCGACAAACATTGGTTCAAACTGCAAGAAGTGTGCGGGGTGATTTTGAAGGTTGATCCAGATGAAAAAACAAGAAGTCTGCGGGGTGATTTTGAAGGTTGATTCAATTCAAAGCTCTCTTTGGATCCCAAGACCTTTGGGATGTGATCTGTAATAGGGTAAACGATGGGGGTCGTTTCTGACAACAAAAAAAAGGTAAACGATGTCGTACGGCTAAAGACCTCTAAAATTTTGCATGAAACGCATGTTATTTGGAGAAAAAAAAATTCTCAACTAGCCACTTGTCATTTTTAATTAGTTCTTATAAAGTTCTTTTATAAAATGCTATGTTATAATGGGCGTATGTAATTTATTATTATCTTGAAACATTTGTTAGTATAATGGAAAAGCTGGTTAGATGCTTGTGTTTTTTTTTTTGGGTATCTAGGAGCTTCACATATAGCCAAGAACTATGTTATAGTGTTTGTTTTATAATACTGAGGCTAGAAATGGGGATTGACATCAGTTTCTATTTTATTATTTTCTTTTTCCTTTTCTTCTCACTCGTACTTTGTTCATTTTGGTTTTTATCTTGTTTAGCTAATTTCAAATCTAAATCGTTACTCTATGAAGTTGGTCATGGTTCAGATAGATCCTAGATTATAGTCAAAATGGTTATTGTCGGAGATACCATAGCCAAGAACTTGTACATTATCTGGTTCTTCTACTTAAAAGGGGGAAAGAAAAACTCCAACCAAGGTTTGTTAACTCTAGTCCTCTCTTGCTAATAGTTATTAATTTTTTAAAAAAAATACAAGATATGGTCTAAATTACTGTAAATTAATCTAACCTACGGGGAGGGGGATTCAAACTTGGGTGCAAGGGGGCGGGCTTACTGCCCTGGCCAACTGGCCTAACCCACGTCTACTACTAATGGTTAATCTTAGTTTATTGGGATTAGTGGTCGATAATTCCTCAGACTAGTTTTTAGAATAAACTTCCTAAAAGGACATCCTGCCAATCCAGAAATTCTCATGGGGCACAATGGACCAGACTTACTAGTCGAACGCTGATCTTCAAGCAAGTACGTGAGGATATATATACATATTGAAACAAGATGCAAGTTCGTCTTCTACAGCAAGCACAGCTAGCAGTTCTATCAGAATAAGCAAAATTGTAACACCTAAGACTCATCTCCCTGCTCAAGAAGGCTCTGTGTGTTAGAACCACTGCTGCCCCAAGCCCTCTCCTTCCAAATCCTCTCCACTTCCTCGAATGTCAAGCCCTTTGTCTCGGGTAGGAACAGAATCACAAAGACAAATGCAATGACAGCCACAACCGCAATGATCAAGAAAGTTGCACCAGTTCCAACAGATTCTGCAACCGAAAGGAATGTCTGGGCCACAATCAAATTCGATATCCAATTCACAGTAGCTGACATTCCCCCACATATCCCTCTATATGCTTCAGGATATATCTCTGAGTTCACGGTCCATGGCACAGGTCCCATTCCCGGTGCAAAGAAACCAATATACAGGGCTAAACCTATAACTGCAAGCCACCCATAGAATACACTTGTAGAACCAGATGATTGAACAAAAAAAGCACCCGAGAGGATGAGAAGTGACACAATAACACCACTTAAGCTCGAGAGGGCCAGCTTCCTCCGGCCAAAATGGTCAATGAGATAAATGCCAAGAACTGTCCCAGCAGCATTCATGGCAGCCACTATAAGGGACAGTAAAAGAGCTAACTGGTTGGACTGAAAGCCAGCCATCTGCACAATTGTTGGGCTGTAGTACATGACCGTATTGATACCAGTGAATTGCTGAAATGCCTGAACAGGAACAAATTGTCAACACATGAGATCATGCACTTTAAAGCAAATTAAGCGAATGGAGATCCTGATTTTTTTACATCAATAATACAAAAAAGAAGATTCAATGAGACTAGAGGGAAAGAAAGTTCAGAAAAATAGAAGAAAAGCATTGAACTTCTTCAACTAGAACTACAATTGGAACCTGTGCAGTTTTATATCACACAATGAAAGGACCTAAGCCTTTAGAAATGCCATGAGCAAAGAAAAAAGCAACTGCAGGAGTCATAATTTTCAAAGGTAACTTTCCACATAAATAATTAGTGGAAATCATGGAAATACATTATCTGGTTCTTCTACTTAAAAGGGGGAAAGAAAAACTCCAACCAAGGTTTGTTAACTCTAGTCCTCTCTTGCTAATAGTTATTAATTTTTTAAAAAAAATACAAGATATGGTCTAAATTACTGTAAATTAATCTAACCTACGGGGAGGGGGATTCAAACTTGGGTGCAAGGGGGCGGGCTTACTGCCCTGGCCAACTGGCCTAACCCACGTCTACTACTAATGGTTAATCTTAGTTTATTGGGATTAGTGGTCGATAATTCCTCAGACTAGTTTTTAGAATAAACTTCCTAAAAGGACATCCTGCCAATCCAGAAATTCTCATGGGGCACAATGGACCAGACTTACTAGTCGAACGCTGATCTTCAAGCAAGTACGTGAGGATATATATACATATTGAAACAAGATGCAAGTTCGTCTTCTACAGCAAGCACAGCTAGCAGTTCTATCAGAATAAGCAAAATTGTAACACCTAAGACTCATCTCCCTGCTCAAGAAGGCTCTGTGTGTTAGAACCACTGCTGCCCCAAGCCCTCTCCTTCCAAATCCTCTCCACTTCCTCGAATGTCAAGCCCTTTGTCTCGGGTAGGAACAGAATCACAAAGACAAATGCAATGACAGCCACAACCGCAATGATCAAGAAAGTTGCACCAGTTCCAACAGATTCTGCAACCGAAAGGAATGTCTGGGCCACAATCAAATTCGATATCCAATTCACAGTAGCTGACATTCCCCCACATATCCCTCTATATGCTTCAGGATATATCTCTGAGTTCACGGTCCATGGCACAGGTCCCATTCCCGGTGCAAAGAAACCAATATACAGGGCTAAACCTATAACTGCAAGCCACCCATAGAATACACTTGTAGAACCAGATGATTGAACAAAAAAAGCACCCGAGAGGATGAGAAGTGACACAATAACACCACTTAAGCTCGAGAGGGCCAGCTTCCTCCGGCCAAAATGGTCAATGAGATAAATGCCAAGAACTGTCCCAGCAGCATTCATGGCAGCCACTATAAGGGACAGTAAAAGAGCTAACTGGTTGGACTGAAAGCCAGCCATCTGCACAATTGTTGGGCTGTAGTACATGACCGTATTGATACCAGTGAATTGCTGAAATGCCTGAACAGGAACAAATTGTCAACACATGAGATCATGCACTTTAAAGCAAATTAAGCGAATGGAGATCCTGATTTTTTTACATCAATAATACAAAAAAGAAGATTCAATGAGACTAGAGGGAAAGAAAGTTCAGAAAAATAGAAGAAAAGCATTGAACTTCTTCAACTAGAACTACAATTGGAACCTGTGCAGTTTTATATCACACAATGAAAGGACCTAAGCCTTTAGAAATGCCATGAGCAAAGAAAAAAGCAACTGCAGGAGTCATAATTTTCAAAGGTAACTTTCCACATAAATAATTAGTGGAAATCATGGAAATGCTCACTTCTTCTGAAGTACTAACTGAAGTATGAACGACAATTAGTTGCAACCTACGACAGAACCCTAACAAGACTGAAACAAAAGAACTAGTTCACATACATCTTTAAATGTAATGGAAATCTACCAAGTTGAAGTAGCAACATATAGTGAAATTAGTGTTCCATGGCATTCTAGAAACAAGAATGAAATCCTAGTTTGGTAACATGAGTATTTCAAATAAACAACTCATCCTACCTGAAGTCCGGCCCCAGCCAGAAAAGCAAGTCTGATTTCTTTTACTTTGAAAACATTCCAGTAGCTAACATCCTTCTTCTTATGGTGCTCTTCCTCTGCTTGAGAAGCAAGGTAATCTATTTCGTCCTCTAAGCGAGACAAATTATAAATTTTGGACATCACAGCAATGGCTTTTTCTTTATCATCCTGCAAATTAAGATCAAAAATTTAAATTGATTATGCATGAAGAAAGAAACTGCTGGAGATGGAGGAGAGGATAGAGTAGAGCATAAAAACTGCTTTAGCTTTATAGTTATGCAAATTCCATCCTCCTGCCTGACAGCTTCATAACAAGTTGTCCAGTTGACTTTGTCACATTATATACACTTTCATATTACTATCCACAGTTTTTTCTCAACCTTTTCTTCATCATCAGTCTTAATTTAAATTATATTGCGTATGTGTGTGTGGGAGAGCATGCACAGGTCTGGTTTTATGAAGACACATGATGTCTTTATATCTTGAAGGCGCATAATTCCATCTAATTTGTAACTATGTGTAAGTTGTTGAAATGGCAAGGCATGTGATGCCCACCTATGTCGTTTTGTGAATACAGGCTTATGATGTCATAAAGTTTGTAGGAACACAATCCGAAGTTTTTAAAGTAGGCAATAACATTTCTAGTGATTCTTCAAATAGAGTATTAACATCCAAAGATTTCAAAGTTTTAGTTCAAAGTTTATGGCAAATCAACCCTCTATCTATTTGAGCTGGAGTGTTTGAGGCTATTGAAGATGTTGATGATTATCTTGAAAGAAATTCAAGGCTTGATGGCATGGAAAAATCATTCACGGCGGCACAACCACAAATCCAATTTACTTTTGTGTTTCTTTTTTTATACTTTTAAGCCCTTTTATATTTTTAATTTCTTAATGTTTTTCATGAGGTATGTAACAAGTGGGCATGTTCATCAATGCTTCAGCTTGAGAGCGAGTGTTCAAGAAAGAAGCGATACTGTAATCATGGATACTAAAATTGGTTACCTAGTTTGTTTTGGGTGTTATCTAGTTTTGTGATTAAATGATTTGGTTTTGATTATGATTGATGTATCGCATTCTCTCCATACTTTCTCAACCCATGGAGTGATAAGTTACCTTCATAAAAAGCCATCGAGGAGACTCTGGTAGACAGAGCATGAGAGAGAACTGAATGACAGCTGGAACACCTGATACTCCAAGCATCCATCGCCATGTCCCAGGGACCTGCATTGGCACAACGGTGTTAATATGGAATAAGAGAAAGTGAGATCTATCATGCCACAGAAAGTTACACAAATTAAACTAACCCTTGCACCAATGCCAAAAACACTAAGTAAACATATGAAATATGATATCGACACTTTAGAAGGCAGTGATCAAACTCCCAAGTAGATTGCTTATAAAACATTAATGTCATTCAGTTTATCAAGCAAACATTTAAAATGTACAATATTTCAGGACTACTCATATTTATGTTCCTTGTACTGGTTAATATCTTGAAACTATACATGCAACACAATACTAAGCAAAAGAAAAAGCATGTGAAGAACTAGATATTGTCCTCCAACAAAGTTCTAGCCTTATACTTGGAAACTGTATTTAATGACTTGTTTCTTCACCTTCAAATCTCCAACAAGGATTCATTTTCTTTTCTTTGAAAGTGGATTCTTCTTTTGTTTCTGAAGAAGAAAAGTAAAAGCACGAAAAGAAGAATCCATCTTTTTCTTATTTCCAGACACAAAGTAAAGTGGAATAATAACATTAATAAATCTTCTAACAAACATGACAACGTAAACTGTTGCTAATAACTTTAAGTGAAGAAAAATAAGCAGATACACTACACTAAGCACTAGCATGGTTTCGACAATCAAAGCACCATGCATTATCTAACTTAGACAGGAAAGAACAGAAGAGATTCCTTCAGTAATGTTTCTCAGCCCCAAACTCTTATCCTGATGCTGCCCCTTCAAAACTGCAAAAGTGGAACCTTTCTCCTGCAATAACTTTTGCATAAAAGACAAGTACAATAAACCCAGCAGCTTATTATTTTAAAAAATCAGTTTGAATTTCTACTGGGGCAAAGGGTTCAAATAAAAGATATATAGGAAACAATAATGGCAGAGATTCATACCCTCAACATCTCATGATCAATTATCAGATAATCTTTCAAGTACATCTTCACTGTCCTGTCATTCAGTAATTTTAATGGGGAAAAATCTCATTTTCCATTTCAGATTCTATGAAAACCAAGATCCTACTTTGACCAAGTGAAAATGAGATCAACATATATAACACCCAACCATTCACATAATATGCTCAAATTCACAAATGGTCAATTTCTTTAATTAGCTATTTGTTTCTCTTTTTTATGGAAAGAACATCTTAGTTGTCTAACCTTTTGCAGAATCGGGCAGGTTGACTAATTTATGTAAGAAACATCCACAATTATGATAAGCACACAAAAAAGAAGAAGTTTCTCTTCTGAATTTGAGCAATTTGATAAGCATTACGAAACCTCAATCCTGGTAAATAAATCGTGAAGTGGTAAAATAAAAGAAACAAAATAGCCTTATTAAACATAGCCAATTGGTAGCCACAGATCCCCCAAATGTTGTAACTAAAAGCCAAAAACACTTCGCAGAAAGACTATTCCAATATAATACTAGAATAACAAAAACAAACTATTGGTTCCAAGGGATTAAGGTTTCTTTGAGGAAAGTTTAAACACGTTATTCAATAAGTACTGGAAGATGATGAAAGGAAAACAAATGGCTAAGTAAGATAATTCTAACCTCTGTAAAACAGAGATTAACAAGGTAGGAAATAAACTGGCCACCAGTTATCATAAGAACATTCGTGCTCACTAGTCCTCCCCTTATTTCTGATGGGGATGCCTCTGCGATGTAAACAGGAGCAGTAACAGATGCCACACCCACACCGAGGCCGACCAGAAGTCGCCCCAATATAAGAACATATGGATCTGGAGCAGCAGCCATGACAATCGCCCCAAGAGTAAAGATAATATCAGCAAGAAGAGTAGCCTTCTTACGTCCATAAGCATCATTAATCCAACCCCCTGCAGCTGCCCCAATTATAGCACCAACAATGGCCATGCTTACAATTGTTTCCTGCCAACTTAAATACTCAGAGTGATTCTAAGAAGAAAAGGCATGAATGTTTACATTTTTTTCTTTTTGCAGCTATAAAGAATTTAACAAGCAAAATCAGGTAAAGCTCGTTCTCTTCCTCTACTCTGATCCCCTCTCAACCATATGTTAGGGAAAAAGAAATGGCCCTATTTCCCTGTACTCTTCTCACTCTTGACAAAAATCAGAACCATGTGATATCTCCACTCCAAGAGAAAGCTTTACCATAACAATTAAATGCTTGTACCTGAAGGAAACTACTGTCCTTCACAGCCTCAAAATCATCTTTGATATACAGAAGCGCCCCCGATATCACACCTGCAATCAATATCACCTATGTGAAAACATCTTCAGAGAAAAAGAAAAAGAAAAAGAAAAAGGAAGTGAGAGCTGTATAACTAAAGCTAAAGAGAAGTAGGGCGGCCACTAAACCATGTTGATATCAAGTTCATACGTAGTATATTCTCAGAAAGAAGGTAACAGGGCCCAGGGCCTACTAAGGAAAGGCAGAATACAGAATATAAACCTTGAGAGTCCACAGATTCAAAATCAGGGTTAATTGCATTGTGAACCCATAAAATATAGGTAAAATTTCAATTTGGTGCTTGACTTGCAAAGCATTATGGGAGTCAAATATTAACAAGCACAAATTATAAGATCTTACATATCCAACCAACTCTTTTTTATTGGTGCCCCCTAGCAGGATTTATGCAAGTCAAATATTAACAAGCACAAATGATATGATCTTAGTTACATTTGGCATAAGTTTTACTGCAGACATTAATTCTTTATAACACACACAAAAAAAAGATAGGACCAACTTGCCCAATCATAATGGAGGGAAAGTAAGATTACTTCTTAAACAATGCTTGTTAAATTTGAACTTAAAGAAAAGAAGAAATGCCACACAACAGAAATTTGATTAATCCTTGAGCTTATTCAATAACTTAGTACTCGAACAACAGCAACAGAAAAAGAAAATTACAACAAAAAACAGCAACAAAAACCACAACTATGGCACCGTGATCAAACCCAATTTTTTCTCCTTTTACTAATTATACGTACAGGGTAAGTTTAAATACAAGTATATACGTACAGGGCATGTATAAATACGAGTATACACATAGAGAGACATGTATGTATATATCTATGAGAGTTTTTATCATAACTATAAGAGTAAGAATTGGCTGCTGTTAGTACCTGTGTCGTAGCCAAAGAGAAGCCCACCAATCCCAGCAACTACAGTCAAACGGAGAATGTAAGCATTCTTGAAATAGAACATTTTCCTCTCTGGATGCAAATCCAAGTACCCTGAGCTCCCTGGCATCGAATCGAGCGTCATCTTCTCTCTTCCTCTGAGCTACCAAGCCTCTGGACCAGAGAACCAAACACAATTTCGAAAATACAGAAGAGAAATTCAAGCAAAAAAACCGAGAATTTCAACTTCCTCTGAACTCTACCAACCGAAAAAATTACTGGGTTGTGATTTTCCTATGCTGATTTTTACACGAAACCCCTACAATTTAATCGAGTGCGGAAGCTAAAATAGGACCAAGAAGAGCTCCGTTTTGAACAATGGAGGTACGATTTTTAACTCAGATCAAGCTTCTCCTTGTTTATGAGACGATTCGAAAATCTGATCCTTCAGTTCTGAAATGCAA